TGAACAATTCAAGCTAAAATAAAACTCAATTAAAACCATATAATGTATTTCAACTATTTGATGCAATGTAAGAAGAAGGAAAGATGCCTCTTTGCAGGGAGATTGCCAGCTGCTAATAACTCTAGAAGTAGGGCTAAGAGAGACCGTTTCTACAGATCTCATGATGGAAGTCTACATGTTCATCAGAGAAATCTTCTTTTAAATGTACCTTCCACTTACAATGAATTTTATGAGTGTGCATTAGTAGATGAGTCATGTTGTAGAGTAAGAAGGTTCCACTATGTCAAAGATGTCTATCAATAACAAAGGATTCATACTTTGTTAAAGCACTTTCTGCATTTAGTTTTAAAAAATCCATGCAACATTTGATTATAGCTTTTAGAGGAAAATCTATGCTCAGTGTGGTTTATTTAACACTGAGAATGCTGAATTTTTATAATTCCAGGTAAAATAATTGATGTTCAGAGGCCTAGATTATTGCTACACTTCTGTGGTGGGTTGACCCTGACTGGATGCCAGATGCCCACCAAATCCCACTCTATCACTCCCCCTCCTCAACTGGACAGGGGAGAGAAAAATATAACGAAAGGCTCGTGGGTTGAGATAAGGACAGAGAGAGATCACTCACCAGTTACTGGCACGGACAAAACAGACTCGACTTGGAGGAAAAAACGAGTTTTAATTTATTGCCAATCAGACAAGAGGATAATGAGAAATAAAACCAAATCTTAAAACACCTCCCCCACCCCTCCCTGCTTCTCGGGCTTAACTTCTATCCCGATTTCCACCTCCTCCTGCCCAGAGGCACAGTGGGACAGGGAATGGGGGTTGTGGTCAGTTCATCACACGTTGTTTCTGCTGCTCCTTCCTCCTCAGGTGGAGGACTCCTTCCCCTACACCAGTGTGTGGTCCCTCTCACAGGAGACAGTCCTCCACAAACTTCTCCAATGTGAGTCTTTCTCATGAACAACAGTTCTTCACAAACTGTTTTAGCATGGGTCCTTTCTATGGGGTGCAGTCCTTCAGGCAGGGACTGCTCCAGCGCGGGTCCCCCACAGGGTCACAAGTCCTGCCAGCAAACCTGCTCCAGCGTGGGCTCCTCTCTCCACAGGCCACAGGTCCTGATAGGAACCTGCTCCAGCGCAGGCTTCCCACAGGGTCACAGCCTCCTTCAGGCATCCACCTGCTCTGGCAGGGGGTCCTCCACAGGCTACAGGTGGTCATCTGCTCCACCATGGACCTCCACGGACTGCAAGGGGACAGCTTGCCTCACCATGGTCTTCACCACAATTTGCAGGAGAATCTCTGCTCCAGCACCTCCTGCCCCTCCTTCTTCACTGACCTTGGTGTCTGCAGTCTCTCATCATCTCACTCCTCTCTCTCTCGCTGCAAAGTGTGCAGCTTTTTTTCTCTTCCCCTTTTTTTCTTAATTCTGTTCTCACAGAGGCATTACTGATGGGCTCGGCCTTGCCCAGCGGTGGGTCCGTCTTGTAGCCAGCTGGCATTGGCTGTGTTGGACATGGGGGAAGCTCTTGGCACCTTCTCCCAGAAGCCACCCCTATGCCCTCCCCCTCCGCTACCAAAACCTTGCCATAGAAACCCAATACAACTTCATAGAAGACATGCAAAAAAATGCTACCCAAGTGTTCAGTTAAGCAAGGAAGTAACTGAAAAAAGACTTATTATCTGTAAACAAAAGTGGATTTTAAATAGGTACTGCATTTTTACAACCTGACATGTCACTGTTTCTGGGTGTAGAATGGCTACAGTTTTGAAATGTTAAAATCTTCTTCTTTTTATATTGTTCTCTTGTGAAAATAAAGCCTATTTTTTCTTCTGATGCTCTACTGCAAACTGACAGAAGTCTGTAGAAGCTACTGAGTAAAACGTATGTTCTTTGCAATAGGAGTAGGAGAAACTTCCCAAGGGAAGTGGCTTAACAGTGACAACAGAATTGCAGCTTGCACCAGTGCTAACTACAGCAAGTGGCTGCTTTGACTTAGGCAAATCAATTTGAATACTGAAGTTGCTATGAAACTACAGTAGCAAAACATATTTACTTAGATTAAGGCAGGAAGGGATGGCAAGGAAACTTAGATCTGACTTGTTTTCCACAAAGGCATAATAAAAAAATCATTTAACTGGGTCTCCAGATGACTATTAAAAACAGTTAAAGCTACCTACAAAACTATTGTACTCACTGGCCTGAACGTGGAAAATAAAACCTGATCATGTGGTCTACTAGTGCCATCTATTGTGTAGAGGGAAAAATACAGATACCAATGGTAGTAGTTGCCTATTTTCTCTTTAAAAGGTGATACATTCTTTCTGCATTACAGTATCGACTAGAAAACATAGCCAAAGCTCATAAAATCACTTGGTTTTTTATAAAATATAGCAATTACTATAATTTATGTGTATTACAGCAACGTGCAGGACTCTAACCATTGTCAGGCTTCATCATACCAGTACTACGCGTGTATGGACCACATGGGCACACAAATGCAGTGCAAGACAGACCCAGCTCTGATAGTCAAAGCTGCATAAATCTTTTAAATTAAAATCTATTGCAATTTCCTTACATTATGTCAGATTTCTCCCAAATAAAGGAACATTAGCTCATCTTCCAAGGAAATGAACATTACCCCTTCTTAAAATCCCAGCACCATGCTGCCTTTCACCATTTCTTGGAGGAGTACAGCTCTTACAGCTCTTCCAGCTTCTTCTGGAGACAATATCTGTAGTGGACATAGTAAACCACTGGGATCAGCTTACGAACCCCAAACACTCTGAAATCTTCAAGTAGATTCTCCAAAACCTGAAGGCTTGTGAAAATGTGGTGTCAATATTGAGACTAAGACTCTATTTACAGAGCAGTTTAAAACAAAAAGTTCCTGAATGTCTTTACAAACTTCATACTGAAATATCCAAAATATCCTGACATATATTTTTGTAATCCCTCTAGTCTGCTTGAAGACAGTACCAACACCAAATAATAAACCCCTTGCCATCAAGATAGTTTTATTGCTACCAAACATAGGATGCTCTTAGAGATAAGGCAGTATGCAAACAGAGCAGATCAGAAATAAAAATTTAGAATACCTTATGAGGAAAAAAAGGTGCAATATATGGTGATCACTGGCTGAGCACACATGGGAGAGAAGAGCAAGGAGTGTAACAGGCCCCAAAATAAAGTAAGTTTTAGGTATTTTAAGTCAATTGAGTTTCATCCTTACGTGATCTGGAACTGTGATAGAGACCATAACGATAGTATTTCATCAGTAGATCAAGCTGCACAACCTAGAAAAATTAGGCTTTGCACTTTTTGAAGGGGGAAATGATTTAGTGGAATCTCCAAAAATAACAATAACTGTCATGTGATTTACTGTAGTTTACACAAAAGAAGTTTCCCAATCATTCACGATGGGCTGACAAATAGAAAACATCATGCAAACAGTAGATGGTGGAAATATTTCTACCATAGCGCCCAAGGAAAAAAATAGCCATTTCTTGTTACCAAGAAATGTGAAAATATAGACATCTTGCATTTAGTTAGTACTAGATTTTATTTTTGACATGATTGTAACTATAAACCTCTGCAAGATATGCTGGATACAGTAGAAAGCAAGCCTGCCAGTGAAAAACATTTTTACTATTCTTACTTGGAAGAACTTAAAAAGAAAACGTGGACTCTTTAAGTTGTGAAACAGCTGAATTTAATACAGTTTAAAATACACATTAAGGGAAATATCAACAGATGACTAGTCTTAAGATATCACTCTCCAAAACACACATTTGTTTTATCTCACGGAAAATTAGCAACTGAAAATCATCAATATTTCTGCATAAACTGTGATAGGCCATGGCAAACATAATTTTTAGAGAACTTAATTGAGAGCCAAGTGGATAATGCACTAAAAGGAGGTAGTGAATCAGTGCACAAAAGACCCTTTTGCCTCCATATACTTGTAACATCTGCCTCCTCAATTAGTTCCTTAATGACAGAAGTGAGTTTACAGCAGCAAATATGCCATATGTTCACTACAGAAGCTTTCCAGGACTCTTTTTTCTTCAGTTTTGTCTATATGTAATACTCATACACATATAACTGAACACCTGAGACCTACTGGTGCCTCTTCTTGTTTTTCATTCACTCTCAATGATTTTTTAGAGATCCTCTTGATTTCATCATTGTAGATAAAAACACAGGCTGGAAAACTTCTGCTTTGCATTGTAACCAAATTGCAGTAAGATTTCTCTTTAGTAGATAGTGCACAAATATAAATTTACTTTCTACTCTCAGTTCAGTTTTAAGCTTCCTAGGGCCAGCAGTGCATAAAGGGGAAAAAGGGCTAGACTTTTACAACATACATGGCATTGATGATTAGAAAACATTTTTCAAGCAATATAGTTTAAATTTCTCCTAGGATTTGTATTTGTATACAGAGTCCACTATCAGAAACATGTAGCACAGTGTTGCAATCTACTAACTGCAAATTTCTAGTCTTGAAACAAAGACGCCCACTTCTGCTCACACACCTTCCTCCACAGTCCTTGCAACTTTAACACAGTACAAATTCAGTGTTAATGTTTCCATTGTCTTTAGTCCTTTCTAGCTATATGCAAAATGTACTTTCTCAAGTTTAAAACTAATTTTACTAATCAGACTACAACAAATAAAAAAGTGTGGATATGTCCAAAAGGGAAGAACTGAGGACATCAAGTCTTTGAATGAGTTTCAAGTGCTTCTATAGATTGCTTCTATTACAGTACAACTAATGCATCAAACAGTATAAAAAATTACAAAATATTGCAAAAAGATAGCAGGCACATTGTTGTGCATTTTTAAAATGTTCTAGTAGATGCTGTTATAGGTATTGCAGAGTCAATGGCATGGGTTCTGTATACAACTTTGAAAATCTCTGTCTCTCTGCAACGTTTTCTGTAAGTAAAAAGAATCCTAGAATATTCATATATATAAGCCAGAATTTTCTCCACTATCAGGTGTCTTCATGTATTTCTGTTGATATCCTTAAAGAAACTCTCTAAAAGAAAAATAAAACAAGATCAGCTTAAAAGAAATTAATTTTACAGTTCTGTGATATAAAGTACAAGGAGATAAAACAAACAAAAATATATTTAAGTGAAATACATAATGTGAGAAATAAAAAAAAAAAAGAAGGTTGGCAGTTGTTTTTTCTGAATTAATAGTTTGGCTTTATGTGAGTACTGGTTAGGACAAAAGATGATAGAAACTTTAAAATCATAGAATCACAGAATGGTTAGGATTGGAAGGGACCTTAAAGATCATTTAGTTCCAACCCCCCTGCCATCAGCAGGGACACCTTCCACTAGATCAGGTTGCTCAAAGCCTCATCCAGCCTGGCCTTAAACACTTCCAGGGAGGGGGCATCCACAACTTCCTTGGGCAACCTGTTCCAGTGTCTGACCACCGTGAAAAACTTCTTCCTAATATCTAATCTAAACCTGCCCTCTTTCAGCTTAAAGCCATTTCCCCTTGTTTTGTCATTAACTGCCCTTATGAAAAGTCCTTCCCCAGCTTTCTTGTAGGCCCCCTTCAGGTATTGGAAGGCCTCTATAAGATCTGCCATTGTCAAACACTACCATTGGAATTAATGCTATTTTATAGGTGGGAATCTAAAATGTCTGCATTTCTACTTAGTTTAATTCAATTTCTTTTTCTTATTTATTATGTTTACAATATTTAAATGGCATTAACCTTTCGATGTTGAACACTTTGGGATCTGGGATCTAAAGGAGACTTATCAACTAATATAGCTCTGAGGACTACAGCATTGTCTGCAAATGTGTATTTCCAAGGGAAGAGTTTGACTTTTGATAAAACAGATACCATCATTATACGTAGACATCAAAGAGTGACAGACTGACAATAAATACCTCGCCTCCAAAATGGTAAATTTAATGATGCATGCATATCTGAATGGTACTTCAATACTTTTGTCAGTTCTTGAAGGCAATTATATGCCTTTAAGGTAATACATTGCATAATTTTGAACAATTAATTTTTTTTAAAAAGTGCTTTGTTCTACAGAACCTAGATTTTTTTTTTTTTTTTTTAAAAAGGGGGGGGGGAAGATCTAGAATCATGCTATTCACTGCTATTACTTAAAAGTAAAAAGGTGTAGAAATGTTTGCTACTGGTTAACTCTGAATCCTTAGTTGAAAATTGATTTCTGTATATGCTTATGAAAGTTATGTACAGATTATATATAAGTACTAATCACTTCCATGCTGAGCAAGTACCATTAAGTGAAGAAGCAAGGAGATTAATTACAAAGTTTTACATTATCTGATGTCAAACTCCGGTTTTATGCCAGAGAACTTAGAGGGTTCTCACTATTTTTCCTCCCTTCCCACCTCCATGAATTCTAGACATGGTTTCCAGCAATTTATCACAGCACCAATTGGCTCACATATGTGATCTCGATTACTAGTTCTACAGTTATGCAAGTGCTTGGATCTAGTTTTCAACTTTCTGTGACTTGTGTGAAGCAACAGTATATATGAAAGACCTACATAAGGGGTATGATACCTACAGTGATTACAACTGAGTTAGTTCAACCTTGTAATTATGGTATAAAGCAGCAGTTCTCAGTCTTTTCTACCTTAAGCTCTCTACTCAGTCTTGCAAAGAACCAACTACTTTATGGGGAAAACAAACATCCTGAAGTCTGGGAAGAATAAGGAGTCCATGATCCTCCTAATACCTACAGTAATACCCAGGACGTTTTGCCCTCAAATCTCCACAAGGCACTTGCCATGAGCAACGGTTTTTTTACAGTTTTTTATGAGTTATTTTGTCAAAGTTAAGCCTCACACATTAGTATTCTCAGCATTTTGTATCCCTGTACCAAATAAAAACCCTACGAAACCCTGCAGCTAGAACATGCTGCATTAAACAACAACAGTTGGCAAGGAAAAGCCTGGCAAACTAAGTTCAAGCATGACTTTCACAAATCATACAAAAGTGTTTTGTTTTTAACTGATTTAATATTTTCTCTCCCTTAAAGTCGGGCTTGATGCATCACCATATCCAGCTACCTAAACTAGAATGTTTTAATGTCAATACTTTTCAAAAAGTATTTGATATTCTGCATTGAGAGGGAAAGTATATCAAAAAGTGTAATTTTTAAAAAGAAAGGAAACATTTATGGTTGAAATGCATTGTATTATTATATAAAATCCCTCTGGTAGAAAGAAATGCCGTTTTAGTTGCATCATTTATTTTGGCATTATGTCACCTTTAGAGGGCCTCTTTCTACAAAAAGGTTGGTAAATAAGTAGAAGATATTAATTTACTGAATAATTTTCAAGATCAGACACCTTTCAAACTGTTAAACTGATTTATAAACCTGATTTTTATGTTTTAAAAACCAGGGGAAAATTTTCAATAGGTAAACAGAAATCAGTTCTGTGAGTGATAAAATTTGTTTCTGTATAGCTTTGGTCTATCTAGCTGAGTTAAAGAATGGTAATTTTCTATTGCATTTGTTGTTATACAATTCACAGCACCTCTTAGTCACTGCTTAAATATGTAGATACCAACCTGAAAATCTCTAATGAATGTTAAAAAGAAGAAGATAAAACCAAAGGCCACCGTCCATTCACAGATCGCACTCACTAAATGATAAGTATAATCCTGATGGAATGAGACATAAAATAAACTTTCAGATAACACAGCTAAACAAAATAACTGGGGAATGCTATGAAAATAGATATTTCCTTCTGTAAATTCAACAAATATTCTAAGACTTCTGACTCATCATCCCAATATCCTGTTGTATAAAAGTCAATCCAGATTCAGTTTTTACAGAATGACAAGTGTATTTATCAAGGTTGCATATGTTCCATTAACCAATATATTTTGTGCAGTAACATAAAAAATAGTATAAGAAAACATACTATTAGCACAAGATTAAAACATAGTTTGAATGTAATTTGCACCTGAAAAAATTTAGTTCTTTTGTAAAAGATACCAAATTGCTCACATTCAAAACTTTTACTCGGAGCCACTGAGTTCAGTAGTACTATCCCTTACAGTAAATTCTTACAATGTTTTAAAATGGAGGGCTACCCTTGTATGACAGTTCCTGACAAGACCATCCTTTTTAAGTAGACCACCACAGCAAACCTATTATAATGTGACACAAACAGAAAGTGAAGTGTTTCATAACATGCCATCGACAAATACGCCATCTATTTCAGTAAAAACATTTTCTCATCCTTGCATCTCTAGTAAAAAAAAACCTCAAGAGGTAGATATTACTAAGATTATCGAACTCGTGAAGATTTATCTCACAGCTGCCTTGCCATTGTTTGGTTGAAGTACATAATCTGTTTTTTCAATACCTCCATGTGGCAAAGTTTGTCCAAAAAGAAACTTAGCTTTTGTAGTTATCACTCTAAGAACACTGAAAGCAGTTCAAATAACTGATATTGACTTTAGTATGCTTCAGGTCAGACCCCCAATGTTTATCACAACAGTAAAGATTATTTAATAAAGAATGGTGAAAAAGATGAGAAAACCAACGTAAAAAACCTCAAAAACTTCAGAATCAAATTGGTCCACTTTTGTTTCATGTGTGAAGGTCTTTTTCAATAAATGTGTCTATAAAAGAAGTAGAACGACTCACTTCCAGAATTTTTTTTTCCTTCCCAGTTTTTCCTATGGGTAAGTGTCAAATTAAAGTCTAACTCTCCCTGAAGACTGACCCATCTGTGACAAGTTTTCTCACCCAAGCTGCAGACAGTTTTCTAATGAAGAAATAACTAGAAACCAGCATTGCACAAACCAGTGAGATTTCACAGATCTGTTAATGATAATGCACTATTTAAAGTCTCTGAAGTGTTTGCAATGCTATACACTTTTAGATAAACATAATATTATACAGGGTAAGTTAGATACCTAGCGAGATTTTACCTTTTCACCTGGAGTCCAATAAATTTTTGTCATGGAAATTCGTGAAGCAAACACAATCACTGGGAAAAACACAGTGTAAAGGAAACTATAAAAGTTTAGTGAGTAATAGTGAAAATGTCTTCTAACAAAAAAGGACTCCATCTCTGTAACACAGGAGATCCTGAACAACCAGAATATCAAGTCAAAGTATTAAGAAGACAAGTAAATGAAACACATTATTGAAAGGTTACTGATAGCAGCAATCAAAACAAATTTGTGCACAAACAAAGGTTTCTGCAGGTTCCTCCAAAGTACAGAGGGTAACAGGAGATACTCCAAAATTTAGATCACATTCATGATTGGGAACTGTGGGAGTAGAGTCCTGTACTGTTGGAAGGGGAACCATTTGGTTTCCATTGGTCCACAATAGATGCCTTGATATATTTGTACAACTTTCTCTCAGGACTGGGGCCTTCTTTAAAAGCCCTTTCAAAGCTGCTGAAACCAAAAGTAGGTTGGAGCTGGCTGGCTGATGTGATGATCTGCTGTGACCACTTTTCAATACTGACAGATCACCTAACGACCAATAAAATCAATGGGTGGCTCTAATTCCAGCAGGCTGTGGGAAAAGCCAGTAAGTGTGTTGAGTGTGTCTCTAGGGGAGGTATCTAATGAAGTTAAGCACCAACCAACATGATCAAAACATCTGCTTAGGCTTGAAGGAAATCTTGTATATGCCTACTGTATTTTACGTGTCCACATCTTAGGTTCATTTCAGAAGCAATGCCTCCCTTTTGCAGGCCTTTCTGCATACCCTCCTTAAGAGGAAGGAGATTGGAAAGTTGGTCTAGCTTTATTATCATATGATTCTATGAAGAACACTGGGGCATTAGATTTAAATATACCACTGAAAGAAGACATACAGCCTTTTAGAAGACCCTGAAACTCATCTTTATGCTCTTAATGGTGTCTTAACATGCTATATGCATTATTATAGCAGAAATATTAGAGAGCCCTAAGCAAAGATTGTAACCTCATTTTCATCCTTTATCAGCAATAGTTTAACTTAAAAGGAAAATCATGAATACATAAAGGCAAAACCATGGGATACACCATAAAGGATACTGGGAATGAAAGCAATGCATGATATTACAGAGATGGCCATCCTTATGTGACACACTGAGTAAGTGTTCCATTGTGGACAGGACTTGTATGAGATTATAGACTGAAGTGTAATGTATACAACACCCGACCCAAATGCCACCAAAGCTCCTATGTCATGGACACTGGGAACAGACAGCTCCTGGAAAAAGAAATCAGCACAATGGTTAGCTGCTACTGTTTGTACAGTGGTAGGAATCAATGCAATGAGCCATGAGAAGATGGTAGCCACATTATGCTAGGCACATACAAGCAGTGGGAAACAGCTCCTTCTCTCAACAGTCTACACAGGGAAGGCGAAAGAAAATGGAGAAAGAATAGCTCAGATAAGTAAACTAACCATATCCAAAGCCATGAGGTCAAAGTCCTTTCCCGTGTTCACATCAATTTTAGTGCTTTTCAACAGTTGGTCCATTACCAATTAATGTGTACACAAACAGGAACTGGCTTGTGTTTTTCTTAAGAGGTGTTTACACTTCCTTTTTCCTTTTACTTTGCCTAAGAATTTAAACCTTTTGCCTTGGAAGTCCAATCTGCATTTGTGAGGCCATACTCTTAACTAATGGTAAAGTTTCATGGGAGCTGTTCTAAATAGTGACTGCTATAGCTCCATCCCCCACCCTCCAGTGGCCAGCCACAAGTCTCCAGGAAATAAGTCAGCAGAAAATTAGTTATATATTAATTAAAAAAAAAA